AAGGGGGGGGTGGAGGGGGCGCGTCCTGTTTGCGAAACGAGGATTGGAAAGCCTATAGGGGACGCAGCCCCTCCGCGCAGAGACCTGACCTCTGAGCCCCCGAGCGCGATACGTGCCCCCGAAAGCCCCTCCTGAGCGCTCCCGCTCCGCGGCGAGCTTAATCACCGAGGCCCAGGAAGGGGGCGGCACCCGGAGGCGCTCACCTTCCACTCTGCCCCCGCGGTTCCAGCCCTCTTCCTCTTCCTCCTCCGGTAACCGCTGCTTCAGAAAAGCTCTTCCCGCTGGACGCCTCCGCAATCCGGGCGGCCACTCAGAGGTTCTCGCCGCGCCCGGATTTCGCCCAACTTGGAGCCGCCAGGTTCAGGCCGGGGTGGAGCAGAAGCCCCGCGCGGCGGAGGAGGGAAAGGAAAAGCCCGTCCCTACCAGCCCGCCTGCCTACTCCGCCTCAGGCAGAAGGGTTGGGCTGCGTGCCCCGGAAGTAAATGGGCCGGAAGTAGGGGAAAGAGAAAGTGGGAACGCCGCGGCTGTCCTGGCGATTCTCCGGCGGCCGAGGGGGCTGCGCGGTCTCTGCGGTTACTCCGCCGTGCTCGTGTGAGCTCTTCCTCCATGGTTGCTGCTTGTATAGCCTTCCCCTTTTCACGAAGCTGTACTGATTAGCACTTGGCTGAGTTCGCACGACATACTAAACCGCCTATTAGCCAAACAGGTTTGTAGGTACTCAGCTTTTCGTACAATAATGGCAGGTCTGTAGAGAAAACAATGCCGGTGACCGGCGTGGCGACAAGGACGCACTCTTCCCATCTCGAAATGTCCCTTCTGCTCCAAAGGGGACCCCTGACTCAAATACTCTTTCTTGGTAAGCAAATAGCTGCCATCGCATTCATGATTAGTTTGGAGCTGTAACTTCCCCCAAATTTGACAGGAACATTAGACTAGTCTGGGTTAGTGCAATATGCTGGGCTAAAATGTGGCTGGTTAGTTCGTGGTTAAGTGGTTGTGTTTGTACGTGTAATATGTAAACAAAGTTTCACCCATCACCATAAGCCAGAATACAGTGTTTGATTTTGACTTGGCATCTTATGTGACTCTATCCATTATCATATACTAACCATAGTTTATAGTTTAGGATAAAGTATGAACCCAGATATTATGGCTTAGTCAATAAACAATGATTAAACAAACTTGCCTACTTATTTTATTCAATTTATATGGCTGTGTATCTCATCATGGTGACTGGGCAGCTGACAGCAGTTAAAAACAACAGCAAAGTAAAATATGTAGCCAGCAGACAAGGTAAAAAAACCCAAATAACAAAATAACCATCTCAGGGGCTCTAACTGAGAATCTGATCCCCATGCCCAGGAACACAACCACATCTTTGGGGCCTTGTGGAAGGTTGGAATGGTTGGGGCCAATCTAATCCCCCAGGAAAATGATGTTCTAAAGGCAGGTGCCCCAGCAGAAAGAACTCTCATCCTGGGTCCCGCCAGATGACAGTTTTTGTTTGACAGGACCCATAATGTGCCTCTTCTGCTGTATCAATTGGGACAGTAGAAACAATCAGGGAGAGGCAGCCTCACAAATAATGCAAGTGTGTGCTATGAAGGGCTTTATAGGTGGCCACCAACACCTTGAACTGCACCTGGAAGCATACTGGTAATCAATGCCACTTGCAAAGTAGAGGTGTAACATGCGCACACCAAGCAGCATTCATAACTGCCCACACTGCTGCATTTTGAACCAGCTGCAATTTCCAGATGCTGTTTAAGGTCAGCCCCATGTAATGCTTGTTGCAGTAGTCCAGGAGGTGACTAAGGCATGAGTGACTGAACAGAATTTCTCAGTCCAGGAATGGGTGCAATTGGCACATAACACAGAGCTGTGCAAAAGTCTCCTAGCCACAGCTGTCATCTCAAACAGGAGTTGCAAGTCCAGAAAGACCCCCAAATTGCACACCAGTTGTTTGGGGTATTGCTACCCAATCCAGAACAAGAGATGGAAAGTCTCTGGAATTGGGGGGGCCTTAAAACCCAGTCGCTCAGTTTTTCCCCATAGCCTCCAGACACCAAGACAGAGCTTCCGTGTGTGCTATGTGATATGCGTATCCACTTTTATCTTGAAGATCAAAAACTCTAAATGTTGTACTTCAGTATGGAGGCATGCTAGGAATTGTACTTCAGCAATATTTAGATATTAGATGGCTACATACTCTCCATGCTGTTGTGCCTTGCCGAAGTGTTTTTGTGCTAGAATGATAGTAACCTCATTTTATAGTAACAGTCAAAATATCACCATGAAAGGTACATCCACCAAAAATCATACAGAGGCATACAATGTTACAGTTGTATGCTGTTGATGCAGCAATTTTCTCTCCCTGCTAGGGCCAAGGAGGTTGCTGCAGAATTTTTTGTTTATTTGCAACAGTTCCAAATAATTTCAGGTTTTGTTTAAAAGATTAAAAAAGACATGAACAGCATACAGAGTAGGTGCATGCTTTAATATCTGGAGGGTGGTATTTCATTCAAGGAGCAGACTGAATGTAACATTTTTGCTAAGCAGAATGCCCCCCCCCAAAAAACGGCGCAGCTAGCATGTTGGGTTTTTTTTTTTAATCCCATCTGTGATTAAGTTTTTGGTTGCTAAACCTGTAACTTAAATTTTGTAAGGTGCTGATATATAAACCATGAATGAGACACAATCCAGTCAAATCCTTACAATTTTTTTTTTTTCAGGAGTTCCAGTGCGGACTTCAAAAGTAGGGTTATTAAAGGTACTGGCAGAGTATGAATATCTTCAGCATATGGCTGACCTTATAGAGGGTATAATTCCCTTATTACTTGCTGATAATTTTACCCCACTGGAAATATGAGATTGAAGTAAAACTGCTTTAACGTGTGTTTTCTCCCCTGTTGTTGGGACAGTGCATTGGGATCAAGC